ATGACCACTTTGATTTACAGGTGTGGGCAGCCTCCCCTTCACCTCTGAGACTCCACCTGTCAGCACCTGACAATATAACTCAAACTGGCTCTAAGGGTCAGCCTGCTCAGCATATGACAGTCTATCTTATACCAGTGATGTACATGAGAAAAATATAGTTGCCCCAAAACACTTACTTTCTTATTTTAGGACAGATACAGATTTGCAAGACACACATGCAACAAATCCTGTATTTGTTATTTTAAAGGACTCTAATGTTAAATAATCACAATGATAAAACTGTTGCTATTGTGAAAGTATCCCAGATCTACCTTTGCTGTTCTGAGGAATTTTGTGTTGCAAGTGTTGCAGGAGAGAGGACCAACATTCGTGAAGCTGAAGGTTGATTTGCAAAATCACTTTTTTAATAAAATTAGTGTAATGATTAACGTGGCATTACCCAAATTCTTGCCTCATGCTAACTGAATGCTCAGACAAAACCTTTCATTTGTTGGAAGGTTGAACCTGGATTAAGATTATTATGATGATACAGGAATAACATCAACATGGGGATCATGCTGTAGCAGAAAACTCAAAGTGAGTAGAGGAAAAGTGTTATATAGTGCTGGTCCATTTGCAAGAGAACAAAGAGGAAATTAAAACAACAAGAATAAACACCAGGAATCAAAGCTTGAGGAAAAACTGAGACTACAAATCTTAAATCTCTAAAGCTGTAAAGTAACCCAAACAGACACCAGACTCCCTAAAAAAACATAAATGGGAACCAAAACTCAAATAATACCACAAGAACTCAAACTGAACATTCCTAGAATGATAATCACCAAACAGGAATCTAAAACTCAAACGCAGGACAAATGTCTGCAGTTGTGAGAGGTGTAGTGGAAGAACCATTCCCTCGAGCTTCGACTTGTCATTTGTCTCTTCATCTATCAAGAAGTTAAACAAAATTAATCTGGAATAAACAAGGAAAAGCTGGTCACTGACAAATGTAAAGAAACTGTAGATTGCTTAACTGAAGAAATGCAGAAGACATGAAGATAAATTGTAACGTGTGTTGACAGCGTAATAGAAGGATGTAAAACGCATGAGCCGTTCCTCATCTGAGACTGGAAAGTCTGACTTCACAGCTGCAGTTAAACTTGTAGTGAAAATGCAAGCTTAAGTGAATGTTCGGCGTCCAACGCCCTCTTACTCGTAGTGGTTTACCTTTGTGATCCTCTTGATTTTGTACTGGCATCTAAAATGTTGCTCTTTGCCCTGCTCAGGCATCAGATTAATTATATTGGAGTACCTGACACCCCAGGGACTTCATCTTTTCTGTCATTCTTCGTCTTTCTCTGTTTTTATCTCTCTTTCCAGCTCCTGTCCTCACAATGTTGTCAGGCTGTTGGAAGTGCGAGCTGCTGAGGGCATATAAGATTGTGTGAGCAAAGACTGAAACGCTTTTCTGCTGAACGCCTCCTCTGGAAAGATCTTGTTACTTTGGTGCAGCTTCAGGAGGCAGAGATAAGAAATAATTCTTTCCTGTGAAGGTGAGAAGGTGAGATTTGTTATTTATTTTGACAGGCTTTCTGGCCTCTTGTCAGTTTTACCATCTCTAAACTGTCAGAACTTTATTTCAGGTAAGTTTTTTTCCTTCGTTTTTTTTTTAACGGTGTTGCCAGTGGCTCACTGCTCCAGCCTAATGAGCCATCTGGGCCATCTGTACTTTGGCAACAAAGTCGCACATGTCCTAGCAGGGTTGACACCATCCCACATGGCCTCAAACCCAATAAAATGCATACTGGGTGAAGCTGGGTTAATAATACTGCTGCTGCAGCATGCCTGGATGCATCCTCTCTGTCGTGTGTAGGCCTCCGAGTGAAGGAACAGTAATTTGTTGGATAAAAACTGGGCTGACTGTAAATACTTGCTATAAGAGCTCCACTTTTTACCATCATGACTTGAGGGCAAGCATGGCATCACGTCTGGGTTGTCTCACACATGTAATGTGCACTCATTCTGCAGCAGACTCACTGAGGTTATCTGCACAAACCAGCATTTAAAACAGAACTCAGCTGATATATTGAACTGACGAGAGTGTGCCTCTCTCCTTCCAACAAGTTCTCTGCTACCTGTTCTCACTGTTCCTTTTTCTTTCTGCTTGCAGTGAAAGCTCAACAGCTTATCTTACAAACCTCACACGACCAATTTAAGCAGCACAAACAAATCACTTGTTCATGGTCACACCATTGTGTTTTTTGTTTTGTTTTGTTTTGTTTGGGGGGGGGGGTGGTGCACCTACAATGGCAGTCTTTGCCACTCAGAGAAGATACATCAGGACTTGCCGGGAACAGAAGAAATCCTACACTTTCTCCAGAAGCTGATCTTTTTAAGCTGTTGCTGAATCTCCTGCACTGATATATAACTGAAATAGTGATTAAGACACACAATTGTACACTCATGTCCCCATCCAGGCCGCACTGTGAGGGTGAGCAAAAATGGGCCATTAACCTGCCAAAACACTTACTTTCTTATTTTAGGACAGATACAGGTTTGCAAGACACACATGCAACAAATCCTGTATTTGTTATTTTAAAGGACTCTAATGTTAAATGCAGTGCTGTGAAAAAGCATTTGCCCCTTCCTAAGAGAAAAAAGTAATCCGGACCCGCCTACCATCTATGAAAAAATAATTGCCCCCTTAACCTGATAAGTGGTTGTGCCACCCTTGGTAACAAGACTGAAATCAAATGTTTGTGATAACTGGCAATGAGTCTTTCACATGGCTGTGACAGTTTTCGTGACCTGCTCTTCTTTGCAGAATTGTTGTCATTTACCCAAATTGGAGGGATTTCAGTGATTGACAGCCCGTTTACGACCATGCCAAAGCGTCTCAGTCTGATTTGAGTCCGCACTCTGCCCGGGCCACTCAAAACATTAAATTAGATGGTCTTCAATATCTTTTTTGGCAAATGTGAGATGAGCCTTCGTGTTCCTTTGGTCAGCAGTGTTTTTCTGCATTTGAGCTCTCCCATGGAAGCCATTTTTGCTCAGTCTCTTTCTTATTGTTTAATCATGAACGCTGACGTGAACTGAGACAAAGTTTTAGATTTGGATTTGTTTGTTTTTTTAACTGTTTGGATGAGTCTTCAATGCACTCATTTTGGTAGGAAAGCCAAAGGTAGAAAAGTTCATCACTGTTCCTAGATAATCAGACCTGACTGTAACTGTCAAGGTTAGCGGGACGAAAGGACCCAGGCACGGAGCTCGAGTTGACTGGAGACAGTGCGTTTTATTTACAGTAACCAAAAAACTGTTCCAAATGTGAAAAAGGTGCAAAGTTCGAATGGTGTTCTCTTCCCCAGATCCCAGTGGTAGTGCAGCTCCATTCACTCGTGAAAATCCAACCTGCTTCTTCTCCCCGGACCGTCCTCTCCGTCCACAAACTCCTAGAAAAGGTGAGTGACACAGCAGGTGAGGAGGCTTCCTAGTCACTATCAAAATCACTATCAAAAGAGCTCACAGTACCAGGCATAGTGCAACGATCCAGTGCTGACTGCTGTCAGGACATACCGTTAAATACCTCAGCCCAAAATGGAGGATGGTTAGCGGCAGCTGCATGGACAATTAGGCGCACTTGTGTTGGCTGTCGTGCGGAGCTGCTTCCAGGTCAGAGGCCACCATGATCTCACTCTCCTGGAAGCACAAGCTTACATAAAACAGCCAGACACAGGGACAGAGAGAAACACACTCACAAAGAGAAAGACATTACCGGCAGGTTGTCCGGGGAGGATCGTCCAGCCGTGACAGGGACATTTATGCTGTCACATAGGGCCAGGTAGACTGGGATAGATGTTACCACAGTAACGAAGTAGAGCACATAAAGCACTGCAGGACTTTTGCTGTGTTCTGTTCTGTTTTGAACACTTCCAGCAAACCTTTTAATATTTCCAACTGGCTAATTACACTGAAAAATGGTGTTTATGTGAGCATGAATGTCTGTCTCTCTGTCCTGTAACAGAATGGCGATCTGTCCGTCAAACCTTCCGCTGCACATATAACTCCAACATGTCATGGGAATGATAAGTATGTTTGCCGGTGGCAGAGGCTGACTTCTTGCCTATTGATAATTGATAAAATATCCCTAAAAATACAACTGTTGATTAATAATTGATAGCTGCCTGAACATGCTGTGCACCGTGTGTTACTGCCTACGTCATTCCATCAGCTCACAGAATTCCAAAGGAAGCAAAAGTAAATCACTCAGCTACATCCTGGCTCCTCATTGACCTTTTTTTCTCTGTAGCAGCACAGAATGTAACACAAGCTTTGTGGTATTGATGTACTACAGTGGAAGGGTTAAGTGTTAAGCAGTTACATAAATATTCATGTTTTGGGTTCTTGCATCGTATGCATGGCTGCTCCCCTGGCCTCTTAGTGATGAGAGCTTGTCTGAAGGATACTATAGCTTAAAAAGATTTAAAAATGCTTTACATATGATAAACTTAAACATCAATAAAGTGAATCCACAGATTGACTTTTATAGCACAGTGGATTATGAAACTGTGTGTTACAGGTGACTGAGTACTATCTGTAAGGAACGAATGATTGATGGTTAATTGTCAATGTGCTTGAATGACTTAAAGCATCATTAATCAGTTTTGTGTTTAGATAGACAGAAGAAAATAGAAAAGCCCAAACATACATCAGTTTTTAAGGTTAAAGTGTCATATTTTTGAAAATTACTGCCTTTTGTTTAAAGTTCAACGGAACATGTAAAAGTAGGGATAAGGATGTTAAATATGACCTTCAATCTTTGATTATTTGCCACTACAAGTCTTTGAAACTTATGATTGTTTTTCACTAAATCATAGAAATGTAAAATCAAACAAACAAGCAAAAAATAAACAGAAGTAGCTTTTTTAGACATTTCTGTTCTACAACATTAAATGTTAGGTTAGCTGGATTACACAGATGGATTACGTGGCAGAAACACACACGGACGCAGAATAGTTGGTGATGCAAGTTTTATATATACACAAGTAAGGGGGAATATTTACAAGGGAAAGGGGCTATATACAGTGATAAATAAAAATGTGCCAGCAGGAAAACACCGAGGCGATGAGATGGAGCCGAAGCATACAGGTAGGTAGCAGACGCACCGGAGCTACCTGACAACAGGGAACAAAACAGGGTTTATGGCATACCGTTGATAGCCGAACGTTAAACACAAGTGGACGGAGAGAGTTGGAGAGCTTACTTGACCACCCAAACCACAGCCGCTGCGGTGATCGCCGCCTGATGGTACGTAGCACTCCGTCGCGGATCCAGAATAGCCAACACAAAATCCTAGGTAGGCGGGCAGGCGATGGAACAGGCTAAGACAAAGAAAAGTAGGCGAACCGTGGATCCTTTAAAACATACAGCTCCACAGCGTAAAATCAACAGATGCAGCCTGTGCTAACTCGTTACCACTTGTGACAGCGATAATACTCCGACACCAGACGTCCGTGACTCTGCTCCCTAAAAGCGCTCACTGATGACGTCCGATGCGTCGCAGGTGTGTTGGAATGCCATCAAGCCCCGCCTCGCCTACCTATAACCAAAAGGAAAACAAAACCCAAACAACAACAGTACACCTACCCACCACCTCCTAACAGTATCCCCCCCTCAAGGAACGCCACCCGGCGGTCCTCCAGGCTTGTCAGGATGCCTCCTGTAAAAATCCACAATAAGCGCTGGGTCCACAATGAAGGCCCTCGAGACCCAGGAGCGCTCCTCCGGGCCATACCCCTCCCAGTCCACCAGAAACTGGAAACCTCGGCCACGACGGCGCACATCCAGCAGCCGCCGGACTGAATAGACAGGACCCCCGTCCACCACCCGGGCGGGCGGAGGAGGTTCCACGGGTGGGCACAGCGGGCTGTGAGAGACTGGCCGCAGTTGAGAAACATGGAACGTAGGATGAATCCTCATAGAAGCCGGTAATTGCAGCCTCACAGAAACAGGATTGATGATGCGTTGGATGGTGAAAGGACCCAGGAAGCGAGGGGCAAGCTTCCTGGCCACGCACTTCAAAGGAACATTCGCAGAGGACAGCCAAACCTGTTGGCCCACGGTGTATGGAGGCGCAGGCGTTCTCCTCCGATCAGCAGCCCGGCGAGTCTGAGACACGGTCCGGAGCAGCGCTGCCTTGGTCCGGCGCCAAATCCTCCGACTGCGACGTAGATGATCCCGCACGGCCGGAACCGCAATCTCCGCCTCCTGAGAAGGAAACAACGGCGGCTGATATCCCAGACAGACCTCAAACGGAGAAAACCCCGTAGCTGCCGAGGTGAGAGAGTTATAAGCATACTCAATCCAAGCAAGATGACCACTCCAGGAAGCGGGGTCAGAGGAGGCCACACAGCGCAAGGCGGACTCCAGCTGCTGATTGGCCCTTTCAGTCTGTCCATTAGACTGTGGGTGATAGCCCGAGGAAAGGCTCACCCCCACTCCCAACGCGGTACAAAAAGCCTTCCACACCCGAGAAACAAACTGAGGCCCCCGGTCCGACACAATGTCCAAAGGAAGTCCATGTAACCGAAAAACATGATCCACGAGCACGCGAGCAGTCTCCAGGGCAGAAGGAAGTTTAGACAGAGGGACAAAATGCGCCGCCTTGGAGAACCTGTCCACAATGGTGAGGATCACCGAGTGACCAGCGGAACGCGGCAACCCGGTAACAAAGTCAACTGCAATATGCGACCAAGGTCGACCAGGGACAGGCAGGGGATGCAGCAACCCGGGGGGGGGGGGCAGGTGACGGCTCTTATTGCACGCACAAGTGTCACAGGCCAGCACATACTCGCGGGCATCCCTCGCCAAAGCGGGCCACCAAAAGGAGCGCCGTAGCAGGGAAACCGTACGACGCACACCAGGATGACAAGCAAAACGAGACGCGTGCGCCCAGTGCAAGACACGCGCGCGCACGGCCGCCGGAACAAACAGTTTACCCTGCGGGCCCGAACCCGGGTCCGGATCCTGCCGCTGTGCCTGGCGCACCAAGCTCTCGATCTCCCATGTCACGGCCCCCACCACGCAAGACGAGGGGATGATCGGAACCACCCCCGTAGACTCAGACGCGGGGGAAAACTGACGGGACAAAGCGTCCGGCTTAACATTGCGAGAACCCGGGCGAAACGAGATCGTAAAATGGAACCGGCTAAAAAACAGCTGCCACCTGGCCTGCCTGGAGTTAAGCCGCTTCGCACTCCGAATATAAGAGAGGTTCCTATGGTCCGTCCAAACCACAAACGGCTGTTCCGCCCCCTCCAACCAGTGACGCCACTCCTCCAAAGCCAGCTTAACCGCCAGCAGCTCACGATTACCCACGTCATAGTTCCGCTCAGCCGGAGAAAACCGCCGCGAAAAAAATGCGCACGGATGGAGATGGCCATCATCGGGCGAGCGCTGCGACAACACCGCCCCCGCACCCACATCAGAAGCATCCACCTCCACCACAAACTGTCTGGCACCATCCGGGTGGGCGAGAACGGGCGCGGAACAAAACAACTCCTTCAACCGAGCAAACGCCTGCTCGGCCTCAGGAGACCAACAGAAAACTCGAGCCGAGGACGTAAGCCGGGTGAGCGGAAGGGTGATCTGACTGAAGTTCTTAATAAATCGGCGATAAAAATTAGCAAACCCCAAAAACCTCTGCAGGTGTTTGCGCGAGGAAGGAGTCGGCCAATCCGCAATCGCCCTGATTTTGCCAGGATCCGGCCCCACCCGCCCCTTAGCAAAGACATAGCCCAGGAACGACACAGAATGAGCATGAAACTCGCACTTCTCCGCTTTCATAAAAAGTTTGTTTTCCAGGAGGCGCTGCAAAACGCTGCGCACCTGCTGAACATGGTCCTCAAACGACCGCGAAAAAACAAGGATGTCATCCAAATAAACGAACACACACCGATTCAAAAAGTTCCGAAGCACATCATTAATCAACGCCTGAAACACTGCCGGCGCATTCATCAGACCAAAAGGCATTACCGTAATGTCCACGGTGAGTGTTAAAGGCCGTCTTCCACTCATCTCCCTGGCGCATGCGCACCAGATGGTACGCATTGCGAAGGTCCAGCTTCGTAAAAATGACCGCGTCCTGTAAAGGTTCAAAAGCAGAAGAGATCAGGGGAAGAGGATATTTGTTCTTCACAGTAATGTCATTAAGACCCCGAAAATCAATGCAGGGTCGGAGAGATCCATCTTTCTTATCCACAAAGAAAAAACCCGCCGCCAACGGTGAAGATGATGGACAAACCAGGCCCGCCTCCAGTGACTCCGTAATATACCTCTCCATGGCTGCCTTCTCTGGACCAGAGAGGTTATACAGCCGGCTGGTGGGCAAAGGAGCTCCAGGTAACAGTTCAATGCCACAATCATAAGGGCGATGGGGAGGAAGCGAGAGCGCACAGCGTTTACTGAAAACCACCGACAGATCATGATATTGTTCGGGTACAGACGAAAGATCCACCTCCTCGGGCGCCAGCTTAGACGAGCAGACAGGCGAAGGCGGAAGAGCAGACTGTAAACAGTGAGACAAGCAGTGGCTACTCCAACTCTCAATGCGACGGGAGGACCAATTGATATGAGGATTATGACGCTCGAACCACGGATAACCTAAAACGATGGGAGACTCCGGGGAGGAAAAAACAAAAAAACGAAGAACCTCACGATGATTACCAGAAAGAATCAACGAAACCGGTTCAGTCTCATGAGTGACGGAGGGCAGTAACTGACCGGTGAGAGCCACAACAGAGACGGGAACCCGCAAGGGTATAGTCTTAATCCCGAGGCGCCTCGTGAGACCGCCGTCAATAAAATTCTGCTCAGCGCCAGAATCCAAAAGCGCGTTAGTAGAGAAAGTGCCAGACGCGGCATTCACGACAGCAGGAAGTTGCATGCGGGGAATTTGGGAAAGAGAGGAAGTGCCACCCACCAGTACCCCCACAGTTACTGGTGGGCACCGCCTTTTGACCGCAACGGGCAGGTGGACACAAAATGGCCCGACTGGCCACAATACAAACACAACCGTCCCTCAAACCGCCTCCGACGCTCCTCCAGCGTCAGCCGTGTACGACCCAACTGCATAGGCTCCTCAGCGGCGGACGCCGGAGGAGACCGTGCGCGGGCCGGACCGGGAGGAGGAGGACAGAATATTGTGTGCACCGCGGCGCGCTCAGCACTTCCAGCACAGACCCGGCCACCCCTCTCCCTCTCACGCTCGCGAAGGCGATTATCGATACGAATAGCCAGATTAACTAGAGCCTCGAAACTCTCCGGTTCGTCACGAGTGGCGAGCTCATCCTTCATGCGATCGTCCAATCCAATGACGAAAGCCCCGCGCAACGCGTCCTCACCCCACCCCGTCTCCGCGGCTTTAACCCGGAAATCAATAGAAAACTCCGCCACCGACCAGCCCCCTTGGCGGAGCCCGTGCAGTTGCCGCGCGGCCTCATCCGAGCGCAGGGGGTGGTGAAAAACCGCCTTAAAATCCTGAACAAACTGCTCATACGTGACAGTCTCCACGGGATGCAAAGCGAGATAAGCCTCGGCCCAGTCCAAAGCACGATCACGAAGGGCACCGATAACATGAGAAATCTTAACAGCATCATTGGAAAACGCTTGGGGATAACGCTGAAAAAGCAAAGAAACCTGAATCAAAAAACCCCCGCAACGGCCCAACTCTCCCGTAAAAGGCACCAGAGTCGGGGGAGCGGGGTCACGAACAGAGCCCACACTCAGTGAGGCAGACGGTACGGGCGGGGGAGCAGGAACAACGGGAGCAGTAGGAGGAACTAGCCGAGCCAAAGTCTCTTGAATGGCCGACAGGGTCTCATTAACTCGGCCTGCCCATTGCTCGGACGCCGCCAACTGCCGAGACAAACTAGACAAAGACTCCTCGTGTTTCTGGAGTAAATCGCCGGACGCAGGACCTGTGTGTTCTGCCAAATCCATCAAAAATGGTCGGAGTATTCTGTTAGGTTAGCTGGATTACACAGATGGATTACGTGGCAGAAACACACACGGACGCAGAATAGTTGGTGATGCAAGTTTTATATATACACAAGTAAGGGGGAATATTTACAAGGGAAAGGGGCTATATACAGTGATAAATAAAAATGTGCCAGCAGGAAAACACCGAGGCGATGAGATGGAGCCGAAGCATACAGGTAGGTAGCAGACGCACCGGAGCTACCTGACAACAGGGAACAAAACAGGGTTTATGGCATACCGTTGATAGCCGAACGTTAAACACAAGTGGACGGAGAGAGTTGGAGAGCTTACTTGACCACCCAAACCACAGCCGCTGCGGTGATCGCCGCCTGATGGTACGCAGCACTCCGTCGCGGATCCAGAATAGCCAACACAAAATCCTAGGTAGGCGGGCAGGCGATGGAACAGGCTAAGAAAAGTAGGCGAACCGTGGATCCTTTAAAACATACAGCTCCACAGCGTAAAATCAACAGATGCAGCCTGTGCTAACTCGTTACCACTTGTGACAGCGATAATACTCCGACACCAGACGTCCGTGACTCTGCTCCCTAAAAGCGCTCACTGATGACGTCCGATGCGTCGCATGTGTGTTGGAATGCCATCAAGCCCCGCCTCGCCTACCTATAA